AACAGCCCTTGCTGAGTTTCTTGCCGGTTCTTCTCAGTACAAGGTCTCCCGCCGTAGATTTACGAACCGATGGCGTAGCTTCTAAACATTCATATGTGCTTGTAACAGCCTAAACTGAATAAATGATTTTGATTGTGATTATGATTATTACATTCCTTTTGAAATATAGTCAAAGTTACATAAAATAGTCGTGAACTTTCTTATAATCCTAATTATTCCGATTAGGGAATTTGAATAAAAGATATTGACAAAGGACGATTCTGATACTTGGACGTTATATTGCTGATTCGGCACAAATTGTAACGATTATGCTGGCAAGGTCAGTGAGCAGCCGAAGTCAGGCGTTAACAGATGGTGTTCATTGGAACATTTTTTTTAATCAGAGCTTTTTTGTCGAGCAGTATTTCATGATTTCGTAACTTCATTTTCATTTTATGAGCCAGCCATTAGCAATTTAAAATGAGGAATACCTAAGGAATATAACAAGAAAGATGGACAGAAAGGAATAATTTGGCAGAATTTTCGCTCGAATTACAGCGTCCCCCCGTCCCCGTCCCCGTCTGGGGAAGTTATAAATAAATAAATAAATATTTCTAACACTCACACCAATTAGCCTAGCCCCAAAGTAAGCACTGTAAGGCTTGTACTATGGGATTCTAGGGTAACGGATAGAATACATTATACAATACATATATAAGTATATTTATATAGAAATACATATTAAACATCCATGACTGGAGTATAAATTGCTCGTATTCATCACACAAACATCTGCCCCCACCGGGATTCGAACCCAGGACCTCTCGAGTCGGCAACACCATGAAACTCGGCGTGTAAACCGCTCGGCCACGGAGCCCGTCTAGTCCGGTTATAAAAAGTAATCTTACAGAAGAACCTTATAGCACTACCTTTTGATGGTGTAGCATTTCTGTAGGCTAGTGAGGTTCCAGGGCTCAACGGGGTTAGGTATTGGGTCCAGGCCAGCAAGGTTAGAAAACTGTAGCAAATATTCTGTCACTTTAGTCAGCAATATTGGCCAGTGACTGGACTCCACTAAACACTTAACATCAGGTGGGATAAGGTAGTCCTTCCATAGGGCCCGTTGATATTGGCAAATAATTTCTGTATGAAAGAAATTATGTATTACTAGTGGCCCGCCGTGACTTTGCTTCGGTGTAGAGATAGTATTTATTCCCATGCTTGTATTATACATGACTTTCTTGATATAGTTTTAAAAAATCGATGTTTTTTTTATGTTATAGGGGGCATACAAACAGACAGCTCACCTGATGGTAAGTGATCACCGTCGCCCATGGACACTTGCAACACCAGGAGTATCACAAATGCGATGCCGGCCTTTAAGGAAGGAGTACGCACTTTTTTTGAAGGTTTTTGGGTCGTATCGGTCCGGCAACACTGCTAGCGACAACATATTCCACAGTTTTGTCGTACGTGGTAAAAATTTCGACAAAAACGCATGGTTGTGGATATCCACGCATCAAGATGATGGGGATGAAATTTATGTCGCGATGTACGATAGCGAAATGCAACAGCTGGAATTAATCCGAACATTCCTTAGAACACTCCCCGTGATAAATGCGATAGAAGATGCAGAGCGAAGCTAAATCCCTACGCAAAGCGAAAGGATCAAGCTGATCGGAAAGGTCCTGGTCGTCGACGATTCGCGCCGCTCGGCGCTGGATGCGATCCAAAGGGAGAAGCTGGTATTGGGGTGCCCCCGCCCAAAGATGAGAGCAGTACTCCATGTGAGGCCGAACCTGTGCCTCATAAAGCTGCAGTCGGTAGGCCGGTGTGAAAATTTTTACTGATCGTAAAATTTTTGTTACGTACAGTGTGGGAAAATGCCGCCGACATTCAAACTATATTTGTGTTGCAGAAGCGGGCTATCCGATCAATTTATAATCTTAAAGTTAAGGACTCCTTAAGAGATAAGTTTAGAGAAATAGGCATACTGACGGTTGCATCACAATACATATATGAAAACTTAGTATTTGTCAAAAAAATATTAGCTTATTTACTAAAAATAGTGAAATACATACACATTATACTAGAAGTAAAAATAAATTAACTTTACCTGCTACTAGGCTCCACAAAATTAATAATTCGTTTAGAGGTCTCTGTGTTCGCTTTTACAATAAAGTCCCAAGCAATATTCAAGAGTTAAGCCTGACTAAATTTAAATCTACCATTAAAAAATCACTCGTTAAGAAAGCTTATTACAAAGTGTCTGATTATATTACAGACAAAAATTCTTGGCTTTAAACTGTTCCAACCATTCCAACGGGTATTTCTATATGATATAAATTATACTTTTATTGAATTTAAAAGCTGGATTTAAAGTTGATTACTGAAGGAAGAATATCAGACTATTTAAGAACATTTGAATGACAAAACGGCGTGATCATGATTTCTCCATTGTTTTTGCTTTGTAATTGTTTGCAGTGTCCTAGAGATAAATTACTTTAATTTTAAGTAAATATGTTGTGGTTGATATAGGTGGTTATGGGTAGTCATACTCTCTTAAAAGTCTCTTCGGTAGTGTCGTGTGAGGCGGGTCGTTACGTTCCATAAAATATGGTTGAGCAAGCGATGGCTGGTTCATGCGCCATGCTCGTGAACGGGTGCTGCCAGCAGAGATGAGTCTGCCCTAACTTCTTTGATATTTAAGATGTAAATGTTTAGTTACACTTATTATAAATAGTTCTATTTGTATTTATACTGTGTGACACAGCAATCAAAATACAGGTGAACAATTAATGTATAATTTCACATTATGTAATAAAAGGTGACTTCATGAATCATCTCTGAAGTCATTTATCAACTTGACGACTCTGTAAATAATAAAACAGGGAGAAAAACCAGCCCTTCCTGAGTTTCTTGCCGGTCTTCTCAGTACGAGGTCCCCCGCCGTAGCTTTACGAACCGATGGCGTAGCTTCTAGACATTCATATATGCTTATAACAGCCTAAACTGAATAAATGATTTTGATTATGATTATGAAACTTGGGATAGATCTTATCCAAATAGTAATTTCAAAAATTTTATTCAAGACTATATTAGGTACATGTCTGATATTGTCTTGAATAAGTAGTGATTTATGTGTATAAGCATTAATACCCGGGGTACGAATAATGTGGCCTAGTTTGTACCGGCGCGGCACGCCGCGCGTCGGCGTTATTATTGCATAATATTTTAACACGAAAAAGTAGTTATATATGGGTACTTACTTTATATTATAAAACTGGAGTATTTGTTTATTAATTTTTTTGTTTTTGTTTGGTTGAACGTGACTTTGTATTTGCTTTGCTCACCGCACTTGCGTGTTCGGTACATTCTGTCTGCCTTTTGTTCTGTAATCTGAGGTATAGACTATCTCAGCTTGAAAAGAATGGAATATATCAAGTCAATTAATTAATTCAGTACGATTTAGGTATAATGTTCGATTCCCAAATTTCCAATTTCTGAAGCAAAAATACTTTGGTAGAGAGACATCTATTTGAATATCAGGATTTGTAAAAAGTATTAAGAACAACACATTCACGGGTAGAAATAGATATTTATTACAACGAAATTGAAGACTATACACAACCTATAAAATAACATTATAATAAATTTACACCATGCGATCTATTTATGGAAATACCTTTTGTACAATTTCATCGTGTACAAAGATTAATACTAAATGCAACATGTAATAAATTCTATTTATGTCACTTATCTTTGTACAGTAAGAACAAGTAAGTAGTTTGAATTTACTTGGGAATTTTGAAGAAGTTTTCGACGTTCATGCAAGGAAGTAAAGTGTCAGCGATAAATCAACTCTGCTATGGCATAGTGAAGAACTTTTTAGAACTCCACTGTCCCTCAGGCACTTGTCCCACCGCCGACAAGTAGACGATTAGCGAGTGACTGTTTTCTCGCTGAAGAACGGAATTAATATAAAGTTAACTTGCATCAATATAACGAATTCGTTTATAAATAGTTGACTCGCGACTAGAGTTGATCGCTGACTTTCCACACTGCTGGCAAGAACTTTCTCTTACCGAGTTTGTCATAGCGACAAGATACATCGAAGATTTTATTCGCTTAGCGATGCTCGCTTGTCGGTCTGAACGCTCAGAATCTAATCAGTGGATTCGTCGTCAGTTGGTCGAGCGATGCAGGCAATCGCCCGTCGCTCAATCAATCGCATATAGTCGAGCTATAAAACAATCTGAACTACACACTCGATACTCGCAGCTCGCCAATTCATCTCTAGTTTGTAGCTGTAGTTGGTTTTCGCTGATCGTCGGCAGCAGGACAACTGACTTAGGATAATGTCACACTACAAAAAAATTGTGCTTAGAGTTAAAGCGACTCGCTTATGACCTTTTTAATAAACGAAAAATAAGTTTGGATTAGTTACTCCATGTTTTGTCTCTGTTCTTCGAATGACATTTGAGTGATATGAACAAAACACAACGTAACTAGTCTAAGATTATTCCTCGTTTATTAATATGTGGCTAAAGTGATATGTTATGTGAATAGCCGCATTGCACAATATCACAGTTGTCTATACTGCAAGCACGGCGGCTAGATTGTCTTCCGAAATTTCTAGTTTGTCTTGGACACTTTTTGTAGTTTGACCTGAGCCTGGATAAAATATTGAATGGCACTATACATACATAGAAACCGTTACCCCATGCATCCCATTTGTATTTAAATGTAACTCACGAACTTAAGTAAATCTATAGAATGACATATAATTTTTGAAATAGTTTTAACAATCTATTTATTTATTTATTTATCTTTAACAAGTTTCTACAGCAGTTTTTGTGAAATTTAATACAATAAAATATAGATATAATCTTAAAGCCAATTACAGAAACTCAATAAATCTTTAATAAAAATGTTGAAATGTTTACTAAAATAATAATTTCATTTCATACTAAGTAATTTGATAAACTGAAATAAACAAATTATTATTCTTCGTCCAGTAGGTATTTTACAGTCCACATTTTAATGAAAAAATAAAACTTAGTCCTGACGTTTTCTATTGTCCAATTTTTCTCTCTTCCAAGTCCGAGATATTATCGAAGCATTAATTAAAAAAGTATAAACTCGAACCCGTATAAAAATGTAGAAGGAGTGAAAAAAAGAAACAATTTTGCGGGGGTTTGTTTTGTGTTGTTGGGGTTCGGCAAACTTCGCCGATGCTCATTTATTATTTTTATGCGGCGGCAAGTCATAGCGAGTCACAATGACGGAATGAGGAAAGCTAAAGTTTCCTTTTTCAACTTCGTCGAAATTTCACAATATATTTTTCTACGTTAATTGTTCTGATCAAACATCTTTATCTTCAAAAATTATGTAATACTATACCACTCGATGCAGCAATGTTGAAAACAATATTATAAAACGATTTTATGACGTAACATTAACATTATAAAGTGAATTCATTATATTGACTGAATGTATTCCTTAAAACAACTCATCTAAATCATAATAAATTTCCTTTACTGTCATTAAAAAACTGTTATATATGTATGATATGTTTACCCGATATGAACCTTGCGCATAAAGTTATACTAAAACGTTAGCAAATAAATTATTCGTAATTGTTACGTTTATATAGCCTGTTGCTTAATTGAAAGTGCGTTAGTATATACCGAAACAACTCTATGCATACGAAATTAGTGTCGTCTTATTTACATTCGTGTACTGTACTTACTAATAGGTCAACATTTACAAATCGCAAATGAAACAGCGTTTACCCGAGTACGAAATTTACAAGAAGTTGCAGGTTTTTATATTAACATCTAATATCACAAATATCTTTGTTTCACTCCAGCTTATTTATAACTTAAGCATTAATTTAACGAGTAAAGAGGGTAGGATCGAATTAGCTGCAATTCTGCTGGCGGAAGAGAAAGCTTTCAGCCTAATTTCGTTTTGCACGGGATGTCCGTACGACTCCTCTATAGACTGCATAATTTCCTTTGGGCACGGCAATGTTTCGAGGGGTATATCGACGAGTTTTTTCTCAGTACTCTTGACTTTCGCTTCGCTGTCGTACTCGACGTTTTTGTCGTAATAGTCGTAACTATCGTCGGATAGTACATTGATCTTGTCGTTCTCGTTGTCATCTTCAGCGTTCGAAAGCCTGTCGGGTACAGGATCCGTGACACAAGATACTTTTTCGAGGGCGTACTTCAGACTGTTGTCTTTGGTCTCATTACGCAGCGCGTATATCCAAGACAGACGACAATTACAGTTGAGTGGGTTACCTGAAACAAGAGCCTAAATTAGGACCTGTGTAACTACAATTTAGCAATCGATGGCTTTTTGTAAGACGTTTTGTATTCGCGGACAAGGGTAGAATAAGTGATACGGTTTTATTCCCTAAAACTGAAATTGAACAGGGAATTTTCGCCATAATTAGGCTCGATTACAAAGGAACTGTTACGTGAATGGGGCTGTAAAATTTCGCTGTTTTAAGGCCTTATTAGACTATATATATATATATATATATTGAATATTGCACTCGATAGTCAAAGTCGAATATTGTAATAAGAAATTGTGTAGTTTTTATAGTACGCTGTCTAGTTAGAATACTGCGAGAGCGACTCTTAGGCCGCGTTGATTCAATCTTTAGTCAAATTTGACTATAGTTACAATACCAGAGCAAAAATAACCATTTATCGAAATTTGACACATTGACTATATATTTGACGTGGCATTAACTATAGTAAAATTTAAGTACTGATGAAACGTCGCGACCTTATTCAGTGTCCATATCGCATGCTGAATATGGCGTTATATAATACAAAAATCTCATAAAAGATCACAAAATGATAATAACTTGGAATATATTTTAATGTTAAAAAGTTGTTTTTATATGCACTCATACTGCGCACCATATACACTGGAAAGTGGAAACCCCCTGCGGGTCTCTACTGTTCGTACCCCTCTTCTTTACATCGTGCATTGCAGTAATCTAACAAAAGTTTGTGCTCGCGCGTGTGATAAAATTTGGGCCGCTGCACCGGGGCAGAGGACCAGCCAAGTTTCTATTGTTTACTAAGTACAATTAGTCGCCAGAAATAAATAATTTTATTAATGATTTTATTTAATTTTAAGCATTTAACTGTTAGATGTTTAAATCTAAATCTTTCAAATGTTTAATACCTGAAAAAGTATTCATTTTGACATTGTAGGTTGCCTACAATGCGAAGAGATGGCGCTGCCTTGCAGCTTAAGGCTAGGAAAATTTCGACGCGGCTAATAGGGCCGTGGTAGCATAATGGTCAGTGCATTCGCCCGGATTGCGAAGGATGCGGGTTCGAGTCCCGTCCGCTGCCTGGTCCGCGTGGATTTTTTTCTAATTTTATTGAGTTTGAGAGGAGCAAAGCCATTGTTTGAACCTTTTAGCCATCAAAAACGTATTTCCGTTTGAGTTTTTAATGTTGCTGCTTCTCTCATGCAGCCAGCCAACGTGAGGCGAGAGGCTTACGTTTGTTAGCGTTTAGCGTGAATTTGTTTTTATATGAATGTTTGTGACATCGTAATGTTAAAAGAATTTCCTGATAGCAGTGTCAATGGCTTCTACGTGTAAATTGATTATCACACGCGTTCGTGTTTGTTCGAGAACGCTCAGCGTGTTTTTGGAACCTACAACAATTTTTTATTTTTACACAAACTTAAATCAGTTTAATTACGATCTAGCGATTTCATTAAAAAAAAAACATAAATCTCAATGTATGGGATTCTCGTTATGAATCGACATATCACGTCATTGAGGCTTAACGAAATTTTGAGTGTTAATTAATTACCTATAACAACGTGACGTTAACGAAGCGCATAACGAATTCGCTGCGAAGCCTTTTTACACTTGGCTAGGGGTGGTGGAAGAATAAACTCGCCACGTGTGATAGGGCAAAAGGAAATACACACTACCAACGCACACACATGGGCAAAAAGTCGCCATGACTGCCCTAGGCTATAGAACTTACGGTCAAATAAAATCGCAGGGTTCCTCCGTCCGCGCGTAAATGTGGAAAACTTTTAACGCGCCGCAAAAATCCACGCCATTAGCAACGCGCACCGACAACACAGCCCTTAGATGCAGACTGACTTAAGCCGGGTACTCATTAGTGAACTGTAACTGTAACATGCGTGATACAGTACGACGTTCTAGTGTGTACGCTTGTTACAGTTTAGGCTCACGACGTCGCCAGAACACTTTCACTGAGCGTACTCATTTTTAAAACTGTAACTGTAACGAAACAGGTGCAGTAACGAGGTTCTAGTGTGCACGAGAAGGCCACTGACTGGCCGGATCTGCGCAGTGTTGGTTTGTGTTCGCCGCAAAAACGGCTTGTTGCGAGTCGCTCGTGTAGCGTTCGTTGCAGGCTCGCGGACCACGTACAAAATATGTTTTTGGTAACAGTAACGGTTACAGATACGTGCAACGTTACGGGTTCAGAAATGAGTACGTTGTATATGTCGGCTCGCTGCAAACCGCACGCGTACCACTCGCAGTAGGTTAGCAAACCAGGGAACACACTTTTGTTTTTTTGCTTACAATGCATGCAACAGTTACGGTTACAGCTCGCTAATTAGTCCCCGGCTTTATTTATTTCTTCATGGAAAACAAACGGCATGTTAAAACAAAGGATAAAACGAAATGATGTAGCATTGATAAGCCTTAAACAGTTTTCACAAATTTAAATCAAACACAATATACTTTATCCAATAGAGGCCGTAGATTAATTTAAAGCTAAATAAAAATAAAAACAGAAGTATAAAACTCAGCATTAATCCATACCCACAGAGAAAATGGTGACAAACATAAAATTTTTTGAATTAGGTTTTATTATTATTATTAAAAAGATACTATTCACAATGTTTTTGAAATAATTTTGTCTCGCCAGAAACACGTCCACATCAATTGAATATTTATTGTTGAAATTTTGTGTTACTCTATTAAAGTAGGAATTCTGTCTATAATTTGTCGAACATAAATCGGTATGGAATCGCAGATAATAGCGTCTGGCAACTGAAGGGATTGGTACCTGGATTTTAACCAATGATAGAAGGTCATTGCTGTCTATCTTATAAATCAGAGAAATAAACCCGCTGGAAAAAGTGAAACAAAAGAGTTCAAATGGCTCCGTGTACCATCATCAATCATATCATTTGCTTACATTATGACCTTGTATTACCCAATCAAGGCGCATTCCCTCTGCTTCGTCTTGCCTTGGGCAGTTGCCAGAATGCATTAACCGTTGTAGCACTGAAAATATACCGTTAGACGTTTAGGGGCTATTTAGTCGATGGCAAAATGCAACGTCTCCGTAAATGAGCCCTTAAGTGATAACTTGAGGATTCGGACCTTTTAAATGTCTTGTAGCCGCAAGTGCGGTTTATGAACCATTCAGTATTTTATTACACCCACGAGAAGTAAAAGCGCTAACAATAAAAATATTGTAAATCTTATTTTTATTGTAATAACAATAAAGTAGCAGCATTGCGGTCTCATGGATCACATATTCGCTAGGACTTGTTCATTAATTATTACTCGTAAAACTGCTGTCGTCATTTGTTAATTTGTGTGTTTTGTATGCGGACACGGTGTGGCAGCAGTGTCACGCAACACAATTCTTCTTTAGAAATGTGTAGCTTTTTGGCTGTGCTCGCGACTTAAATCGCGCGGACGTCGGAAATCAACTTTGTAAATATAGATGGTTGGCCTACAACCTCTCTTGCATATTTCGTAAAATAACCAAACACGATATGTGTACTGTTCGTATTTGAGGAGTTCCGTTGTTTATCTCCGAAAGTTTTCATCAGATCTTGACTAAATAATATGGGATTATCTCGCTAATAAATGCGGAAGCATTTATGAAAGCATTTATGGAAGCTTTCATGCGGAACAAAAAATAATCTGGAAAATCGGTCTACAAACCTCAGAGATATGCGCGAATAACAATAAAAAGATATGTATATTGACGAATTAAGGACCTCCTCCTTTTTGAAGTCAGTTAATATTTGCTGGAACTGTTTCAGAGGAGTTCAATAAAAAACAGAATACACGAGATTTCTATATATTAGCGTTAACCTCTACATTGGTCGTTTCAACCCCAGAAAACGTACAAAAAGACGTGCGCCACCTTACTTGAAGCAGTACATTTGCATTCTACGAACGCAGCGGAATTATCTCGGAGACTTGCAACCTGCCGGGAACAGATAGCCGATCCGAGGCGACTAAGAAAAATGGCCTTTATCCTAACTTGGCACGTGCCGCGACCGGCTCTTATTCGGTACCGACGCTATCGGGAGCAGAATAGAGATATTTATCAATGTTCCCACCAAATTTAGTTAACTTAACTCCCACCATTCTTTTGGGGATAAGGATAATTCGTGAGTGTTCAAAAATACTGCACTAAAGGTTTTTAAAGCCACAGTCAATCACTAGATTACGCTGCGGATTTTCCTAAAACTACGGAAACTGCAAATGTATTAATTCAAACAATGAAGTTACCATAATGATTATTTTCAATCAAATGCTAATAATAAACACCTTTTAACTGTATACTTATTTAATAAGCGTGTTGCTTACATGCAAAAGCCATGTGGAAAATCACTGTGCTTCAATTAGCGGTACAATACCTTTGTATTGTTCAGCATTATCTATTAAGGCACAAGGGTATTGTGACGATGAATTATATCTAACTGTATACAACTGGAACAGTTTTGATAAATATCGTCTTCTGTTTCGTATATGAATCTAACGTGTGGCGTGTTGGCTAACAAAAACTACCACAGTCACTGACTACTGGTACTTCTAGGGTACTTGACCATTTACATGAAGCGAGTGTCAAACGAGAAATGATGTTAAGTTACAGACGCTTGCAATACTAGAAAGCTGCCATCCTACCTTAATCTCATTCTATCCTTTAGCAGAATTCTTAGATAAACGTAACATTGTCATGAAAATTTGTGTTTTTATAATAAAATTGTCGAATAACAATATACACTCATTTTAAGTGTATAAATACCTACATTAAAGCTATAGCAGCTTGAAAAGTTATAGTCCGTAGTAGCAGTTTTCAAGTTGCCCGCCTAAAAGACGCTTCTTCACGCATCGTTGAAAGGGTCTGGATTATTACGAGGACAAAGTAACACGTGTGCATTCTCTCGATCCTCAAGAAATAAGAACAAAATTCAGAGAATAGACTGACGTACTTAACGCCATTATAATGATATGTTACCGTTATATCACCGT